GGCTCAGTTCAGAACGCAACTTGTGTCTTTGACACGGCAGACGTCTATTCTAATATTTCTGAGAGAGACATTTACAGTGTGACAGTGAAACATGGAAAAAGTCAATGCGGGTAGAAACAGTTATCAACAGTTATCTGGATTATTTCCAATTAGGGCAAACTATTTTTCAATATATTTTTTTTCATGCATGTTTTCAAGCTGTATTGCACTAATATCAATAATAACCAATTCAAAAAACTTACCGTAACATTACACAAACACAAATATAGCCATCAGCTGATCCAAACTAATCCCAGTGTTGACTGACCTCATGCCCCCCCCCACATAAACTCGGGCATCGCCTGTTTTCCGCTTTGACGGATGCAGCAGTTTCCAGAATAGGACCTGAATCCTAACAGGCATTCAGGGTCTTTCCATTCGATCCCGGCATGCAACACACAGAGAGTTGCTCACGTGTCGCGTGCCGGGGTCGATTGGAAAGTTCCAGAAAACAATGTGAATGTTACCGCTCCAATAACAGCACTTTTTTTTGGTTTAGGCTCTCTAAATCTAGTAGAAATTAGCTTCATGGTATCCCCATCACTGTGGAAATATTGCAGGCATCTCAGGATTGCAGCTTACTAATTCGTTTGTAGCTTTGTCTTTGGATTGTTGTTGAAGTTCTTATTTATCCTGTTGAGTTCAATTTAACAGTCGGGCTGCCTTGCTTATGTCCACCGCTCCCTCAGATGCTCCACTGTTTTATTCAATGTGTCATGTGTTTTAAAAGCGTCGCCGCGGGCGGATGTTCCCATTAAAGGAACAATTCCTAACCTCCATCTGAAAGCTTTCTCCACAGGGGGGCTACGATCTTAACCCCATAGCATCTGGCTGAGTAGCTGTGTGCCTAAACACATCCAAGTGTGTAAAAGGAAAGGCAGTGGAGCACCGCACAGAGTTCAGGGGGTTTCTCTGGTGGCTCTTTAGTGGCTCTGGCAGAGGCCAACGAGCAAACACATCCGCTGGCATCCCTTGTTTGGTGTCAGAGCAGAGGCTGGGGCTCTGTTGTCAGGCCCGGGTCAGAGTGCTGGGCTTTCAGATGGCGTGAGAAAGACTGGACAGACACACACACACACACACACACACACACACACACACACACACACACAGATACCTACTTGCTATTTTCCTCCTCATCCAGGGACAGACCAAAAACCAGACCAGAGCTGCACAGATCAGCGACTCAGCTAAAGTGATGAGGAAGATGGCCCACACCGGTAGCATCTCCAACCCGAGCACTGCAATGAATAAACACAGACACACACACACACACATAAGAAAATAACATCTTGCGAGTAGTTTATAATCCACTTATACTCTCGTCACACCTTCAAAAGGAATCTGGAGCGAGCATGCGACACCGGCGCCATCGCCCGTTAAGACAGAGGTGATAATTTGATGGTGGACCGGTGTCACACTAAATGAGCAGAGACAGCAGGACACTTACGCGGGGCTCCAGTGTACATGATGGAGAACGTGTTGATCCCGATGGTGGTGGCGTAGAAGACGGGCAGCGCTCGCAGGCCGTTGGGGACGGAGTCTTCCTGTGAGGGCAAAAACACACAGATGGATCTTTAGTACAGTTTGACTGAGGAGTCGTTGTTATTGCTGATCATACAGTTGTGTGAAAAAGTGTTTGCCCCCTTCCTGATTTCTTATTTTTTTGCATGTTTGTCACACTTAAATGTTTCAGATCATCAAACTAATTTAAATATTAGACAAAGATAACACAAGTAAACACAAAATGCAGTTTTTAAATGAAGGTTTTTATTATTAAGGGGGAAAAAAATCCAAACCTACATGGCCCTGTGTGAAAAAGTGATTGCCCCC